CGAGCCCGTAGCCGGCTGGTGTAGACGCCGAGCTGTCATCATGGCTCTGCCATGCCCCTCCTCGCCGGGGTACAAGCCCGGCACCGAGGCGGCGAAGGAGGCGCCCGACCCCGCTCCATAGCCCGGGCGCGGGGGGTTGGAAGCAAACGCGCAAGAAGTTTGTTCGGGGAAGGCTCCGGTGGCGAAAACCGAACTTGCGGCTGGATATTTAGAAAATAAAGCGTTCGCATAATACAATGAACTCATAATTTGGCCGGATGATTTGTAGGCAGGGACGTTTTAGTGTCGGTTTTACGAGATTCCTTGATATATTACAGAATTAGAGTCCAGATTTACACCAAAAAGGACCCCCTTTTTCCTCCCCGGGCCACGTGACCCCGCCCACGTGACGTCCCCTCCGCCAATGGCCGGGCCGCCTCCCCACGGCTCCGGTAATGTGGAAAAAATTGTGTGGCGTTGGATTTATAAAATATGATCAATAATGCATGGGGGAGACAAGCTCTGTGGGTTGGGGCTGGGGGCTCCAGGGCCGCTGTCGACCCCCGTGGGCCGGAGGCCGCTGGCCGGCGAGATGTGGGGAGAAAGGCATGGAGTGGCCGGGAAATAAATAAGCGGGGAGCCACCCGTGTTGGCGCCCCCCCCCTTCCTTCCCAGGCCGCCACCAGCGAGAAACAAATGCAGGGATTGCACGCCACGGGCGGGTGGGTGTGGGCCAGTCAGGTCTTTATTAATCCGGGCCAGGTCGGCCTGGCTGGGCCTTTGGGGGGCTCAGCCCGGTCCTGAGCGAGGAGCGCGGGGGGCCTGGCGGCAGGCTCTCTGGGCGCCCCGGGCACAGGGCAGGGAAGGAGCCAGGCTTCGTGGGTGTTCCCTGAGGCGCCGGATCCAGCCCACGGGTGTTGGATGCTGCGTTTTCTGGCGGCTTAAAAAAAAAAGGTTTGAAAACTTAAAAATGTTTTTTTTTTTAAAGGAAGGGGGGTGGGGTGGGTGGGAAGAGAAAGGAAGGGAGGAGGGCAGCCCGGTGCACTGCTCTTCTGGTTCCGGGAGGCGGATGCCTCCGTCGAGCGGCTGCCCGGCTGCCGGAGAAGCGGAGGGAGCGAAGGAAGGAAGGCGGCGAGCCAAGACCTCGGAGCTGGGCCTCGGTGGCCACGACCCAGAGGGAGAGGCAGGCACGAGCCTTCTCGCCTCTCCTCCCGTTCCCCCCATCAGACTCCAGGAAAAATAAAAAAATATAAGCTTGTTCAGTAGACCTGCACTCCACCTCCGCCCCTCCCCTGCACACACACACACAGAGGGCACCCCAGAAACAAAGGAGAGAAGGTGGTGAGGAGACAGCCACCAGCCCGGCGCGTCTCTCCTGCTCGGCCAGGGCTGGGGTCTCCAGGGCCACGCAGTCTCGGAACGCAAAGGGTGGGGGTTTCTCTGGGCTCCCCTCCCTCGTTCCTCTCTCCTCCAATCACGCAGCAGCCGCCTCCCTCACCCCCTGCGCCCCTGGGTCGAGGGACTCGCACCACCTGCCTCCAGCCCCCGCCCCCTCCTCCGCGCGTCCAGGCCTGGAGGGCGCTGGAGCCCGGTGGCCAGCTCCCCCCCCACCCCCCAGCTCTGCAAGGCGCCTGGAGCAAATGAGGAGCGAGGCCCGGCCAGTCTCGGGTTCTTGCTTGTAAACTTTATTGTAACTCTTCCGCCCTTTTCAGGCGCAGACAACAGAACAAAGTATAGAGGAACAACAAAATATATAATTAGCCCTCCCTCCCTCCCCAATAAAGCAATTCACGGATACAGGATACATTCTCTTCACAGTAAACCTAAGAACACTTTTAACAATTGCCCACAGCGCGCATGCTAACTAAAGTAACCTCTTTTGAGAAACACTTAAGACGAAATTGTCAAATCAAAGAAGGGGGTGGGGGGAGGAAAGAGAGAAGCAAGAGAGAAAGCCAGCGAGCTAGGTAGGGGCAGCGGGGACAGAGGGGGTGGGAGGAGGAAATGAGGGAAGGAGGGGGGGGCAAGAGAGAGAGAGAGAGAGAGAAAGAGAGAAAGAGAGAGAGGGAGGGGAGACAGAAAGAATTTCGGCGTGAATAGGCAGTTTCATGTTGTTGGGAGAACTTAGCAGAAATCGGTACCTCGGTCATTACGGGGAAAGGGGGCCATTGCACAAGGAGGCTTTTTACACGGGACGGGGGCGTGGGGAGGGGGCTCGGCCGAGCAGCAACCGCTCCCCCTCGCTGGGCGAGGGAGTCCTTGCTCACAATCCCTGTCTTCCCCGGCCCCCATGGAAGGGAAGGGCATCCACGGCAGCTCCAAACACAGAAGCTATTACGAGATACTACCACTAGCGGG